CTCCGCCGGTTCGTGGTAGCCAGGGAAAGCGGCGTGAGTCCTTTGTCTATGGCTACAACATCCTGATACATCTCCACGTTAACCTTTAGGAAATATTCCCTAAGAATATATAAATATAAATATTCCTATTTATTATTATTATTACTATTCGCAATATAAGCGAAATACCTGCCAGGTGTTATAGAGCTGGTGTCGCATTCAACGTGTTATAACTTAGTTTAAAGTACTCACGTCTTGAGGTCGTTAAGTGTGATCTCTCTGTTGGAGGTGCACTGCGCCGCTTTCTGACAGAATGACAGGTGCTCGCTAATCTCATCAAATAGACTGGAATAAACAAACAAATAAAGTTTATACAGTGAAAGAAAATATCGCAAAGTAACCTGAAATGTGTGAAGCCAACTCACATTGACAAGGTTGACCAATAAAGTTGACTAAAGCCTAGTCAATTTCGGTAAAATCTAGTCATGTTAAGGAAGTGAAATCTATCGATATGACAGGTATAGTTTAACAATTACCAAAGTCACTTTTAACATTGAAAACAACCAAAAACGACAGTAATATGGCGATAATCCAAAGATATTTAAAACATATATAGACTAGACATAGTGATTTTTTTTTCACCGGTAACTTCGACAGGTACTACGTTCGACAAATTTAGTGCCACCTTGTGTCCTTTTATTGTTGTCATAAAATTTTTTACAAAATTATAACAAGCTCCAAATTTTGTTCAATTTAGCATTGGTCAATTAATGATTCAATTAAACAAAATTTATTATCAACACTTGGCATGCAGAGAACGTTTTTTTACGTATTTGCAGACTGTCGCTGGAGCGCGGTTCACGTTAAAATACGTATTTAGAACAGTCGTTGTAAATAATATAGAAGTTTTCGATTCACTGCGATATATCCGATAAACGAAATATCTCCGCGATTTACTAAAACAACACCCGCTGCACTTGTAATTCAGCGCAAGTATTCCCCGCACAAGTTTTAATAGATTGCGAGTTAGATCATGTGAAAAATGTCTGAAATATGTATAAATATGTTTTTAAATCTGTGCGAAAATCACACAAAATACACTTATAACAGTCTAGAACATAGAAGTAAGTGTTGTATTACCTAGTAGGCACGCCGCAGCTGCCAGCAGGCTGCTCGTTGTCCGCCACTAACGTGTCCAGCAGCGCCCCCAGCCTGTCCGCCAGCGCAGCGCGCACCTGCTCCGAGCACTCTTCGTCCCCTGCCCCGATACATGCCCCCGCCCCAGCCCCGGCCCCTGCCCCACTCGCAGCCCCCGCCCCCGCCCCGCCACGCCCTCGAACACTCGCGCGGATCACGTTGCGCTCGCTCAAGTGACACTGAAACGTAGATACATTTGTTATTTAAAAATACAGTAATTTATGCTTTAATTAGTATGTTTTATTTTATCACTGTGATTGTCGCATAGATTCTGCAAGAAATAGCATAACTATAACTGTAAATTTAAAAAGTTACTTTACTTTAAGAACAATAAAAGCTTATGTTATTTTCTTTTGTTAATTTTGATTTCAATATCTGACACGTTGGGGGATAGTATAACACGAATGACATATTACATTTCAAATTTGATCAAGTCGGTTAGGATACCGACAGTTGCAATAAAACGGAAACAAACAGATTCACGGAAAATCCGTCCGTCTAAAAGCGCGCTTTTGACTAAACTATCGCACAACTGTTTAGTCTCGCTTTGATTCCTATAAGCTTATACGGAGGTGCGCACTCTACTAGATTTTTAGTTGTGCAACTAAACAGTTGACTGTGAAACAATCGACAATAGGGAATATGCATGTATTTTTTTTCGAGCGACGCCATATTAGATAAGCCACTTGCTTCGACCAATAGTGTGCGTTTTAGAACTTAGGGAGGGAATTTGAAAAAAGACACTTTTTAATGATTAAATTTTGCCACTAAATCACATTATATTTAAAAAAAAATCTTTGCAGGACTGTTTTTATAGTAATAAAGTATACTTAAAAAAAGTTTGGTACAATTTGGCGTTATATGCATATTGCACGCTATCGCACAACAGTTGTGCGATAGTTTAGTCAAATTTGTGCTCTCAGTTAAACTGACTATGTAATATATTACCTTGAGTTCTTTCTGTAGGTTGTTT